CTCTCTCTCTCTCTCTCTCTCTCACCCTCCCTCCCTCTCTCTCGGGACTGAAACATCAAATCTGTTCATATTTCATTTAAGATATGCCTTATATTACAGAATTCCCCTCGTAAGCTGCACTCTGTCTAAATTGCTCTTTTAAAAAATGTTTAAAAAGTTGTCCCCCCCGTTTTCCTCCTCAGGCCGAGTGACATCAAGGTCCAACTGCTACTGGGGGAAAAACTGCCGGACCCAGCGAAACAAACCGGAGCATGCTCAGTGAGTAACAATCTCTTGGATAAATGCTGGGATGATAACATTGTAAAATATCTAGAGATTAGGAGAATGAAATATGTGTCACAACGCGGTAGAATAAGGCTCTCGTCAATTTTTGGGCATGTAGAGTTATTGGTAATATCTTAAAGCTTGTTTACTTGTCTTTAGTTGGTTGAAAAAAATATCCGTTTGTCTTGAGTACAAGTCGAGATATTTTCATATGAAGGAGGTGGGGTTCACCTGGTTTCAGAGGTAAAATTAGTGAGGAATTGGCCGCCAAAGGTTATTTATTTCCTTAGCATAAGAGTCCGTGGCAACTGAAAATTTACATTTTTTGTGCCTTCAATCTACGTTTTTCAGTCAAATCCACACTGAAATGAGTTCTTTAACGGGCATGAAAGGTGTTCAGCCGAAGACCAAAAATTTGATAAAAATTCACAAACCTGCGGAAAAATGCCAGTTTCTTCACTTTGATTATCTTGACGAGAGCCTGATTCCACCACGTTGCATCTCATATCATTCCTCTACTTGCCAGGTTTCATCAGAACCTCCAAAATGAAGGTCCATCTCCTTAGTTTAGTTTTAGTAGAGGTTTTACGGCGCTCACAACTGCATAAGGTCATATGAGCGCCAGAAGATTAAAGGTGTTTCAAGAAAGTAACGAACATAAAAAAGAAGAAGGGGAGATAAGGACGATAGATGTTTGATAGGAAAGAAGGAGCAAACCACACCAGAGCACCCACCAACCACCCACATCTCCAGTAGGACTGACTCAAATGGGAAATTTGTGTGAAGTTTCTTTCCCAAAGACAGAACGCTGTACTTAACTGAGTTTCAAACGTCCAAACCTGCAATCTCGTTCTCATGATTACAGATCTGGCAGTAGCCAAACCACTAGACAACTGACCCACCTCTTCTGTTTGGCTCAGATTTACAAGCTTTGTGTGTGTGTGTGTGTGTGTGTGTGTGTGTGTGTGTGTGTGTGTGTGTGTGTGTGTGTGTGTGTGATTATTAAAGCAGTTCAGTGGTGTTTGAGAGTCGCATGGCGTGCTGTGCTCCCTGATTGTGTTCTCAATCTCATGTGGGTTTTTTTCCCCTCCCCAGACGCTTCAATCACATCTGTGAACAAACAAGGACCACATGAGAACGTCTGTTCCGAACATGCTCAACTCCCTGGGGTTGTCACTTCTCTCGAGAGAATGTTTGAAAGAAATGATGTTTCAGTTTTAGCAGAGGGTTTTACTGTGCTCGCAACTGCATAAGGTCATATGAGCGCCAAGGGGTGGGTGTCAACAGAAAAGTCTTTACAGGGAATCAGACTAACTCTGTCCGCCTCTCTAGCTTCAACAGCACAAAGTCTGCTTCGACTATCAAGGCACCCCAGAAATAGCGGGTCACAAGAGTGTAACAAACATACAAAAGAAGTAGAGGAAAATGGCAATAGTAAGGATTAGGAAAGAAAAAGCAGCAGTTCCCTGTTGTAGATCATGCTCAGTTATGAGCGGGACATGATGAATCAGCCCATTTACAATTCTTCTGTGCTTGAACGAGAAATGTCCTCCCTTTGGGAATGGCTTAAAGACACTACAGTCAGTAGCACTGCCCCGGGGGTGGGTGGTGGGGGTGGTGGTTAGAAATGAGTGTTTGTTGAGGGCCTGAACAAAACCTGATGGAGGTTCTATTGTTTTGTATTAATTGCAACTGAAAATGTGATATATGCTTGTTTATGTAACTTTTTCTTGTTACAGCCCCTCATGTGTGTGTTTTTCTTATATCAGAGTCTATGGTGAAATTGGTCAGCATCATTCCACATGCACCTTAGTTACTTTTGAAGTTCGGAAAAAATTGAAGAAGATGAGGTTGGCCAAATCATAACCATGATTCGAGTATGAGTTATTTTTCAATGAAGAACAAAGAAAAAAATAGAAAAATTATATGTAGTTAAAGATGAATAACTTCCTTTTGTGATGTTGGTGAACTTGCTCTTTATTGAGATTCAAAGGGTGAAGAAATCCTTTTCCACAACATGACAAATATTCAACATGACAATTTGAACTGTAACTACAAGGTACGAACAATGAGAATGGATGTAGCACCGATTTACTAATAGGGCTGAAATTATCTAAATGTTAATTAAACTAATGAGCTTCAAAGAGACCTATATGGTCCCATCCATAGGATGATGTTATTGTGACACTTTGGTCCCTTGATCCTTCCTTACACACCCACCTATTCTTAGTTAAACGTGGATACAAGCTTGTATGAAAGATGATTACAGTGCGAATGGATGTGTATTGTTCCCTTCCCCCCAAAATTCAAATGTTATGGGATGTGTATGGTTGGAGTGAGTGGAAAAGGATGATGGACAATCTGAGGAAGGGTGAGAGATGAGTTAATTTAATATTTATCTATCTCCCTCTCCCGGGGAAAAGTTTTATAGGGTACGTTTAAAACTGATGACTCAGATGATCCGTCAATGGAAAGTGAAATAAAGGAAATGGAATATTAAGAAGCAAAAAAAAATATTGAAAGGTTCATGAGACACCGGACAAATCAATGAAGAAGGATGAGCAGGAAAGGTAAGAATGCAAGAGGAAGTGAAGGATGTTTTAAGGATGAGAATGACATGGATCAAAGTAAATCAAGGGAACTGAATATAGTGGAAGGTAGAAATCCAATCTACCAACTGCAGGTGCCAAAGCTGCCTTGTAAGGAGCAAAGGGGAAATACAAGAGTTGCAGCGTATGAATATAACCACAAGTAGTGTCACTTGTTATGTTTATGGTTCAGTATTTAGTAATAGTCATTCTGCTTGTGATAGCGGGGTCCCAGGGGGCGTTGCTCTAGGATCCCTGGCTTGTTTTGGGGGAGCAAACGGGCTAGTGCTGCCGGGAGTTTGTGAGTAGGTGAGGCTGACGACCTGTCAGGGATTTTGGGTTCTGATGCCGGCTCGACAGGGCTGGCGGGCACAGCTACTGGCTCAGCCGGGCTGTCGGGTGAGGCTGGTCCTGTGTCAGGTGTGTCTGGGCTGTCCAGCAGGACGGAAGTTGATTCTGGGTCATGCCGCTGAAGCTCTCCTGGGCTGTTTGCTTGTTGGGACTTCTCTGGTGGTGGTGACGGCGATACTTGGGTGTGAAGGTCAGAGCCTTTGCTTGTTGGGACTTCTCTGGTGGTGGTGACGGCGATACTTGGGTGTCAAGGTCAGAGCCTTTTTGTTGACGGGCTGATTCTGGGGTGGTTGGGGTTATGCCAGTGATGACCGAGGACGTTTTGTGGAAAGGTGCGAATTTCCTCCGGTGCTGTCTGTTTCTTAGGGTAATTCTACTGGTGAAATTGCCCGACTTCGGTGACAACACCTGCCCTTTCCCATTTCCTTGGATGGTTTCCCACTAGATTTTGCACCTACACATGGTCCCCCACTTGCAGTTATGGCAGCATGCGCTTATGTTCGATCCACTTTTCATGGCTTCGTGAGTGCCTCTTTGCAAGGGCCTTTTCTCTGTGCATGAGAGTTTCTTGCCACGTATTGTGGGGGCAGTACCGACCCATTGGGATGGGGATCGCATCCCTAATTGGTCGACCAAACAGGATAAGAGCAGGGGATGATTTGGTCATTGTCAATCGTGTTTCTGTACATCAGCATGGCTCATTGGAATTTGTCGACATCCAGTGACGCGACTGGGCCAGTGCTATCCATCAGCATGCGTTTGACTGTTTTGACTGCAATTTCTGCTCTACAGTTGGCGTGTGGATTTGCCACAGATGTTAGCCTGTGGAGGACCCCCCAAGATTTCAGGAATTCTTTGTCTTGCCTGATGTGAATTGTGGCCCACCATCTGAGGTTAATTCCTCTGGGACTCCGAAGGTAACAAATGTCTCGCGTAAACGTTTGATCAAGCCCTCAGCACCTGATTCTGATCTGAACACCATCGGCCAAGATGAATATCTGTCGAAAATGACAACATAATCCGTGTTGTTGTACGAAAAGTAGTCGCTGCATATTTTCTGGAATGGGTAGTCAGGTGGTGTGACTTCAATTGGTGGCTGCATTGGGTTTGATTTTGCTGCTCTGTTGCAGTGGGTCCATTGATTTCTTGTTCTGGTAATATCAGCGGTGATGTTCGGCCAGAAAACTGAACCTGCTGCCCTTGCACACATTGCACCTACACCTTGGTGCGCTGCATGGAGTGCGTCGAGGATGCTTCTTTGAAATGAGACAGGAATGATGATTCTGTGGCCCATGAGGATGACGCCATCGACGCAAGACAGGCCAGCTGCATACTTGTGGTATGGGTGCAATTGTAGGGGGAGGTCTTTGCACTGATCTGGGACACCATCATGGATCAAGTTGACCTGTTCTTGCCAGGTTGGGTCAGAGGCGGTAGCCTCCCGGACCATGCTTCATGTAACAATGTTTGCTACTGACCGCAATGTGTCCGTGGCAGCCGGAACTGTAGCACTGTCCTCTGCAACGTCGATGTCGGACATTTGGGGATTGACCGATTCTGGGGGGATGACTGGATATCTTGATGCAGCATCAGGACCTTTATTTTTGTGACCTGGCTCATGGACGATGTTGAATTTGTAAGCTAGTGTCTTCTCCTTTAAATTCAGCAGCTGTCTGTTCGTGCTTTCTGTCAATGACCTGTCATTCAAAATTCTCACTAGCGGTTTGTGGTCCGTTGTAACAGTGAGGTCGGTGTAAACTTGGATGTAGTAACGTGTTTGATGTAGTGCGTATGCCACAGCCAGAGCCTCTCCTTCAATTGGGGCGTATAGACTGCTCTCGGCTGACGTCGTGAATCGACTCCCTGCAAGGTGCAGTTTCCATCCATCATGGCAACCGTCAGGGTTTCTTTTAGGACACTGACAATATTTCTGTCGTAGCAAGAAGCCAACACCATGCACCGAACATTCAGTCGACAAGCATGTTGGCCACATGGGGTCAAAAAGCCGGACACCATCCTTCATTTCGTTGATGATTATTTCTTTGGACTTGGTGAAGGCCAGATCCAATTCGTCTGTCCACACGAATTTTGTTGATGGTTTCAGCAGGTGTCGGAATGGCTGCATTTGCTTGGTCATAGAAAATGCATAAGCGCCCTGGTTTATCAGCCCGAACCATGCACGGGCGCCAGTGATGTCACTTGGTGCTGGGAAATGTTTGATTGTGTCAAGGAATTTGGAACTGGGTCTGACGTTTATCGGTGTCACTGTGAGACCAGCGAATTCCACTGTGTCCTGTGCGAACTGCAACTTCTTGGGGTTCTGAGTTATTCCGTTGCGGGCGCATAGGTCCAGTCAGCTGCATGTTTGGTGGAATGCTGATTCGATGCCATCTGCCCACATGCGGGTATCATCAACGCATTTTATCTTGTTTTCAAAATTTGATATGATGGCATCAAAGCGCTGATTGTAGCCATCTCTACTTGCCAGGAATCCCTGGGGGCACTTTGTACCTGTATCGTCCCCACGACGTGATGAAGGTTGTTACGTGTCTGTCTTCCTCTCGGATTGGCACCGAGTGGTAGCCATTCCAAGCATCAGTTACCGTTTTCTTTGTATTTTGTGGTATTCTATCTGCCAAGTGGAATGGGCTTGATACATGATGAGTTTGTCTCACAGACTGGCGGTTTTGCGGTTGTAAGTCCACAGTGCGCCTTGGGGTGCCATTGGCCTTGGCTGTGATGACCATTCGGGAACACCAGGTGACCGGAGTGTTTGGGCTGACTTTTTCCAAGACACCAATTTGTACGTCTCTGTCTAAGTCTTTCGATACCTGTTCTTGCCAGTGAATGGGTACTAGAGCAGGTTTGTGGACTGCCACCGGCTTTGCATCAGGGTTGACATGTAGCTGGAGTGGCTCGCATTTCATCATGGGAGGGGTTGGTGCTCACAGATGTTGAATGCTGTGCCGCCATAGTAGTCCACGAGCCTCTGTTTCAGTGCTGGTATGTTGTCATCTGTGGCTGACAGTCCAGATGGCAGACTTGTAGGTATGGGAGGTGGATCTTGGCCACGCGTAGGGCATGAGCATGTTGATGGTGCAGGGGTTTCCATGGAGGCTGTGAAATCTTGTGGCCAGGAAGCTGGGACACTTGAGAAGTTGGCAGGAATGGCTCCGAGTGTGACGAGGGCTTCCCTGCACGAGAAGGCCTTTTCCATTTTTGCCGAGACGTACATCGTGATTTTGGTTGATCTGGTGGTGCCAGAAGTGTCTGATGTGCTGATAGTTGCGATTATACCGCCTTCGACCCCCCAGATCTTCCTTGATGGCACCACACATTGTCAGTTTGACGGGTATTAAGTCAGTGTGGCTGATACCCATGGCGAGAGCTGATTGTAGTGGAATGATAGAGCTCTGACAGCCAGAGTCAGCGACCATGGGTAATGTGGGATAGTGCGTCTGATGACTTGGCACAAGATGCGGGGAAAAGTGAAGTGAGACCAAGGGAACAGGGAGGCAAAACAGTTGCCAATAGCTTGAGCAAGACGCTGAATCAACTTGGAAGACTGGTCATTTGGTTTCATCAAGATACTAGGATCTGCAAAACATTCTGTGATATTTATTGTTGGCTGTTGTAGTGTCTTGGTCTCTACCTGTGCTATTCTTTGCTGCTTGGATATTATCACCGCCTTCATCTTTGCTTGGATAGTTGGACCAAAAGTTAAAAGGATTATCAACATGGATTTATTCTTTTCTTACCGTCTCATCCTGGCATTAGTTCATGATTGTCCATCATAGTTAAAGATGAATAACTTCCTTTAGTGATGTTGGTGACCTTGCTCTTTATTGAGATTCAAAGAATGATGGACAATCTGAGGAAGGATGAGAGATGAGTTAGTATGAAAGATGACAGATGAGTTAATATCTATCTAATATATATATGTATGTGAGACGCTTGTCAAAATAATAATATCAAGGAAACAGGAATTTTTTTTCTTTTTCTGTCCATTTAAGAATACATCTGTGTGGATTCTACTGAAAAAGGTTGATCAAAGGCTCGAAAAATGTGAATTTGCAGTTTCCAAGGACACTCAAGTTTTGGAAGTCACCAAACTCTGTTTCCATTTTCTCGCCTATTTTACCTCTGACACCAGACGATCCCCACCCCCTTCAATAGTAAATATCTTGACTTCTTTTCAAGATAGAAAGGTATTTTTTTCCCAAATGCAGAGCAAATGGACAAGTTTTTAGACGATATTTATAATTCCATATATGCCCCAAAATTGACGAGCATGTGATTCCACCACGTTGTGACACCTATTGTAAAATGTCATTTGATGTCTTTATCCAAATAACAGCTTGTAGATTGTAGAATGATGCTGACAATGTTTTATAAAAAGACCACTGACTCTAGGGCCAGTGATGGTAGGCTAACACAGCTGTGATATTTGTATGAATTTTAAATTGATGCTGAAAATTGCAGGGAACTGTATACGATTTTGAAAAAATGCCATCTCATTGATTTTCAACCAATTTTGCCAGCATCAATGCAACAGAATGTTCAATTAGTAAGGAAGTAAGCAATACATGTAAGTAGTACGTGAGGTATGTTGACAAAACGAGTTTCTTCTCAGATTTTAGCCTTATGGAAATTAATACATTAACTTGATAGGTGAAGTTTGTACAATTGGTAAGTATGGAATAATAAACGACATGGTAGATCTAGACTTGAATAAAATGGCGTCAATTGAAAATCTATAAATCCGATCCCAGTGTCGATTTTCAGCCGATAACTCCGCTCTTGGATTGGGAGAAGCAACATTTTGTCAGCACGCCTCACCTATAAGCATTCATCCCTTGTATATTACTCATGTTTGCACTGTCTGTTACTTTTACTTGAATTTTAATGATTAAAGATGAGGAAAACTTAGTACTGTTAGTTACTTTTACTTGAATTTTAATGATTAAAGATGAGGAAAACTTTGTACTGACTGTTAGGTTAGTGTAAATTAAATGGCAAACTACACTCAAATGTTCTTTTTACTCTCTGCTGAAACTTCACTGTATAATGTGAGGCTTGTATCGATGACTGTATGTATGTGTGTGTATGTTTGTATGTTGGTGTGTATGTGTGTGGGTGTGTGGGTGTGTGTGTGTTTGAATGTTGGTGTGTGTGTGTATGTGTGTGTGTATGTATGTGTGTGCATGCACGAGTGTGTGTGTGTGGGTGGTCTGCTGGTGTTTTATGTTAGGGGAGTGTAACACTGTTTATTTCACTCCTTGTATTGTATTCTTCGAGATGTCAGTTCTATTTGAGATACAACACAAAATGTCCTGAATAGCACTGGTGGTGACATAAAGATATGTTAGTGTTTTAAAATCATTTATGGGTGACAAATTTTCATGTTTTCACTCTGACCATGCACATAATTTTTTCAAATTCATATTTTTGGAACTTCTAAAGTTCCAAATACCGGTAACCGTTTCAATCAATAATGTTAAAAAAAGATTAAAAATGAGTTTGAAATGCATGAGCAACCTTGTGTTTGAGTTGTTTAAAAAAAAAATGAAATGGAATAACTTTTCTCCTTGAACACATTGCTGGTAAACTTAGAAGTCTGTAATTACTGAGTTGAGTATTATTGGAAAGCTCGTTTCAAGCAGCATTGCCATTGCATTGATCTGAATTTTGATGTTGTATTTTTCTTTGTGTCATGGCATTGAGGACTGAGGTGTCTGTGGTGAGCCTGCCCACCCTGAGATGGGGCCATGCACGTTGAGGATAGGAGGGTACAAGGGTTTTCATGAGGCTGGAAAGACGTAACTGCCCAGTGACCGTGTCATTCAGGTTCACATTGCCCATTCCCCGCCACCAATGGCTACTGGCTATAGTTGTCTACTCTTGCATGAGGTTTCGGACAAATGAGAAAGCCATTGGATCGTCACGTCCTGGGTCGTTGTGCCTTTACTAAGAGGTCCACGGTCAGAAGGCAAGTCAGGCACTCTGCTCGATCCATCCTAGCATCCAAACCTCCCCAGACTGACTGGTTCCTTCTCAGCCATTGAGGGTGTGTTGATAAAGAGCAGTAGGGGTGTTAGGCAGATTAGACTCAAGGGAGAGTAGGGGTGTGTAAGTGAGGAACATAGCGTCTACCACGCATAGGTGGGTTCTGCCTCCTGCACCTTGTGGTACCCCACCCCTGCTC